GAGCCGATTAGGTCTGGGAATACTACCATTAATAATGCACAAGTGCTTGAAAGGTATTTATCAGCCTTTCAGGACAATCCTTCAAGAACCATCCTCTTGTTAATTTACTTTCATGTTATGGATGCAATTGGTGTTCTTTACAAATGAAAATGATATTTACAGTGACTTGTGTTTTGTTTCCGTATGTTGTTGTAGTAGATGCTTTATTGATTCATGAGTTGTTGTTGTTTTGTTGTTGTTATTGTCGTTGACAATCTTGTTGTTGTGTTTATTTTTAGAGTAATGCAGGGCCTGCAGTTTTCTGGCTTCTCCTGTTTCTTTTAAAATACCCTTCAGCCATGGCAGCAGTTCAAGGTGAAATGGAAGCAATTTTTCGAAGTAGAAGACAAAAATTGGACAAATGCATGGAATCAGCCAAGAGATTTTAGACTGCACACCCATTTTTGGTTAGTAATCTCACATTTGGAGCCAGCCTCAGGCAATTTGATACCTTCCATGAAACTTTTTTTTTAAATAAAAAACATGTTATTTATTATTACATGTATATCCTGCCTTTGCTCCAGAGAGCAAGGTAGCATATATGGTTCTCCCCATACCCATTTTTTTGCTTCAACAATCCTGTGAGGTAGGCTAGGCTGCCAAATGGTGCCTGGGTCTAGGTCACCCAGTGAGTTGCATGGATAAGTGTGGATTTGAACTCTGGTCTCCCAGGTCCTAGCCCAACACCCTAACCACTAGACCACACTAGCTCACAGCAGTACCACTGGCTCCTGGAGTCCCTGCATCCATCCCATGTGCTTCTTTGACATCCAATTTCCCTTCACATGTGGACCCAGGACCACCAGATTCTCTACTGTCCCTACATTTCTGTGGTCTGAGTTGCACTGTTTCCAGATACCCCTATCATGGTTATAGCTGTCTCCATGAGCTTCCCAGTTACTCAGTCTTTCTGAATCTGCGCAGAGCCGGCCCTATCATTAGGAAGTGTAAGGCAATCATCATTGGGGCAGGGCCTACATACTTAAAGCAGGATCCCTGCTTCAGACCTTTAGCCTCAACATGTGGTCATGAGGGGGCATAATGGTGGGGGCACGGAAAGCATCTGCCCCTCAGACAACTGTAATCACCTGAGGAGAGAACAACTGAAGCGGCCTAATATCTGCACTTCTGTGCAGGAAACGGTACATAACTCTCATATGATGGCGCCTACTCAAGTATTCCATTACATGAGTCCTGTTTCAGTCATGCTGGGAACCTACAGGGAGCTGAGCAAGACTTGGAGGGACTGGTTTTGAATGGGAGACCATCAGAAGCTGGTGTTACCATTAAACTTTACAGGACCTTGGACAGGTCCTAGGCACCCATGAATTACTTCAACAATGCTCACATAACCAATTGAGGTCCTAAGTCATGGTGGTGGCCTCTTCAGTGCTTGGGCAGAACCCTGGTTTGAGAACCCTGGCATTCTCCTGGTACAATTTCTATCTTCTCATTCAAGAGATTAGAGGACTTTGGGTCCATGACGAGTCGGTGGAGCTCCTCATTGGAGGAGCCTGAAACTACTTCAGGGATAGAGTCAGACATCAAACCTCCCTATGCAGGGTGATCCATGGAGTGTTATTAATTACTGGGCCTCAGGCACATTTGGGAAGTCTAGGGTCCCTGAGGAAGACTCATATTTGTAGAAGCCTCGATCAATATCTGAAGAGCAATAAGTTGGCTGGCACTTAATACCTCTTTCACTCACTCTCACTCCCTCATTGCACCCTAAATTTATCTGAAATGCACATCTAAATTGCTGCTGAGCCTCCCCTGCAAGATTTATGTGAATGTGTGGTTATTCTTAATGCGTAGTCATAAAGGGAAAAGAAATACTTCTTCATTAGCATCTGCCAAATGTAGGACTCCAACATGCGCTTATATAATCATTGCACAAGCATCCGATTCAACATCAAATTTATTTGCATCTCTCAAGAGAAGTAAGGTTGTGCCTAATGTTCAGGGGTGAATATTCCTGGCATACAAAGGTCACATTCTACACCACCCCCTCCCATATCTGTACCTTTTCAGATTGGTTCACTGTCCCTCTGTGGAGCTGCTCCGGCACCATTTTTAAAATCCTCATTCTTGTTGGCTGCCTGATCCAGCCAGTCAAGGAGCACAAAGCCAGCATGATATCACAGTGCCACATAACCAATCAGGGCTGGCTATGTGATGATGTCATCAGTCCAATTAGAGCGGCAGCCATGCCTCCTGCCCTCCCTTTGAATGAGCAACAGTCTTTGTCATATTTTGCAGGGCCTCCCAAGCTATCACAAAATCCCTCCACCCACATTTCATCTCATTGGGCAATGGAGGAATGCCCAAATTTCATTGTTGGCTTTTGGAGGAACACTCAGATAATTAAGGTATTAATTTACACAGCATTTCTAACTGATTGTGGACCTTAAAATCCCTAGTTTAGTCATCTCTTCCCTTCCAAATGTGGAGAAACAGTGGTGCAGCGTTGCCAACATTGAGATCAGAACTGAGAAATCTAAAAGACAACAAGGTAGCCCTAGACCACCATGTCCTTTCATTAGATTACTCCTTAGGCACAAGGAGTATTTTAAGTCACTACATCTTGTTCCAAACACTGCAACTCCTACATTTGCTGCATAGTGCCTTTGTCACCGACCATGTTTCCTTAAAGAGGAATGTTCATTAACTCTGTTCAAAACTGCTATTAAAACAGGGTTGATTTGTCCCGGCAGTGACACATTTTCACACCATTCTTCCTGCTAAAGATCAGCATATGCCGTGTAAGGACCTTTTTCGGCTGCTAGGGAAGATGGGCAATAAACCTGTTCAAACCAAGAATGCTCAAGGAGGATAAGACTCTAAGTACTAAGCACAACTGCTTGGAAGTACTTGTCCCATGGCAAAAAAAGAAGAAGAAGACGCTCCAAAAAAATCAGCAGATCCACACTATACATGTAAAGCATAGTCCATGCACAAACTACAGCTCCCAGTATTCCCAGTTGTTGTTGTTGTTGTTTTTTGGGGGGGGGAGCCACTTGCTTTAAATGTGTGTTGAATAGCCTTTGAATGTATGCTGCGGATCTGCCCATAGAAAAATGCGTAGTTTATTGGGGAGAAAAATCCTAGCCTGGCTTTCACCCTGTCATGAAGTTTTCTATCTACAGGATTTGATATACATTCATTCATTCATTTATAAAGGGTCAGTCCATTCTTTCCCAGCTAGAAATTGTAGCAGTCTAGTTCAGGAACTAGTCTCCTAATCTGGGGAACCGGGTTCGTGTCTCCGCTCCTCCACTTGCAGCTGCTGGGTGACCTTGGGCCAGTCACACTTCCTTGAAGTCTCTCAGCCCCACTCACCTCACAGAGTGTTTGTTGTGGGGGAGGAAGGGAAAGGAGAATGTTAGCCGCTTTGAGACTCCTTAAAGGGAGTGAAAGGCGGGATATCAAATCCAAACTCTTCTTTTTTATCTTACTATAAGCTAGTTTTTCAAAACCGCCTCTAAATTCTGGTTCCACAGGGAGCTCGAAGAGATATGGATTGTTTCCCCCACTTTCATTTTATCTTCACAACATCCATGTGACCCAGCAAATTTCATGGCTGAGTAGGGAATTAAAACCTGAGTCACGTGACTCCAGTCTTTACTTTCTGACAGTGACCCCATACTGGCCTCCCACACTGTTAAAGAACACAAATCTGTGTTCTCAAATAATTGGAGGGAGTTCTTAAGTCTTTGAGATGTAGGTACGAGGTATGAATGGTCAAAGTGCTGTGCGATAAGTATAGTACAATATATGTGCATTACTAGTAGTAATTATTATTTTTTAATATATATATACATATACCATTTTCAGTCATCAAGATGGATTTAAGGGTAGAACACTAGAAATCTAATGCCGCAAAACAGCATGTCTTTCAATCAAACAATAAAAATTAGGGATAACGTACTAAAATGTGGAAATGTACTGTTATGCTTTAAACTGTAAGGAATGGGATGGTGGTTTTATAAAGAAATGGAGGGGAATAGCACACACCTGCTGTTTGCACTTAATGTATTTGCAGCAGGAAACCTTGGTGTAACCGTGATGTGCCTCTGGCAAATGTAAGGAATTGCAAATAGAAGGAATCTAACGGACTGGCAAATGTAATAGAAGGAATCTAAGGACTAAGGCAGGGGACGCGGGTGGTGCTGTGGGTTAAACCACAGAACCTAGGACTTGCTGATCAGAAGGTCAGCGGTTCGAATCCCCTCGACGGGGTGAGCTCCCGTTGCTCAGTCCCTGCTCCTGCCAACCTAGCAGTTTGAAAGCACGTCAAAGTGCAAGTAGATAAATAGGTACCGCTCCAGCAGGAAGGTAAATGGTGTTTCCGTGCACTGCTCTGGTTCACCAGAAGCAGCTTAGTCATGCTGGCCACATGACCCGGAAGCTGTACACCGGCTCCCTTTGCCAATAAAGCAAGTTGAGCGCCGCAACCCCAGAGTCGGCCACAACTGGACCTAACAGTTAGGGGTCCCCTTACCTTTACCTAAGTAACAGAGGAGGTTGCTTTATACTAAGTCAAGACGCTTCCTCCATCTAGCTCAGTAATACACTGACTGACAGTGGCTATCCCAGATTTCAGACAGAGGGTCTTTCTCCCAGCCCCACCAGGAAATGCCCAGGATTGAACCCAATACTTTCTGCTTGCAAAGCATGTTCTGTACTATTGATCTACAGCTGCAAGCCTCTTCCTTTTCCACTGGACTAGACTCCTTATCGCTTTTCCTTTGCTGCCAGTTCAGTTTCTCAGGAAAGTATAGGCAATCTTGCATTTCCTAAAGGATATCTCATGGTGGAATTTTCTTAAGTGAATTTGCAGTGTTAGAAAAGTGAGCCATCTCCTTGGCACACAGAGATAAAGGCAGCTACTCCTACCTTTGCTCCTTTGCATGTTTATTGGACGCAGTAATTTCCCCCCTTTACTTCTCCCGTTTGTACAGACAGCGCATTGAATGAAATGCTACGTTTGACAGCAGCTCCTTTCATCACCAGAGAGGTCCTTCAAGACATGTGCCTGAGACTGGCAGACGGCAGAGAGTACAGCCTGAGAAAAGGAGATAGGCTTTGCCTCTTTCCATTTATAAGCCCTCAAATGGACCCTGAAATTTATGAGGAGCCAGAGGTAAAGCTGCACCGTTCTGAATCATGTTCCTCCTGACAGTTTCCTCCACAGATTCCTTTCACTGCGTGGCTTATTTAAACCCACTGGGTCAAGTATTGTGTCAATGCCATATGCAGCATCCTTAAGACCACAAGAAGATCCTGCTGGCTCTGGCCAATGGCCCATCTAATCCATCGTCCTCTTCTTACACTGGCTCACCAGTTGCCTATGGGAAGCCATGACCCAAGCACAGCAGCACCCTCGCCACTAGTGATTCCCAGTAACTGGTATTCAGAGGCACACTGCCTCCAATGATGATGAAGGTAGAACAAAAACTTCATGGCTAGTCACCACTGAAAGCCTTAACATCCATGATACTGCCTGATCCTCTTTCAAAGCCATCCAAGCTGGTGGTCTTCATTCTATCTTGTGGGAGTGAATGGCACAGTTTAGCTGCCTGCTGTGTGAATAAGGGAATCTATCAGCTTTCTTGGATGAACCCCAAGATCTGGCATTATGACAGAGGGAGGAAATATTTCCTCTATCCATTTCCCCACGCCTTGCATAGTTTTGACCACCTGCATCATGTCTCCTCTTAATTGCCTTTTCTCTAAACTAAAAAGTCCCGAATGCTGCAACCTTGCAATCATTCCTCAGCGGGGGATTGCTCCATCTCCTTGTTTATTCTCATTTCTCTTGCAGCTTGACATGGGCATAAAACCCATGCCAACATGTCGAAACAGCACAATATTGACAGAGTCACATTCCCATGCCTAAAAACAACCTAGCTTTCTGGGGAGGATTGGGCGTGTTTCAGGATTATTAATGCCATACTAGCGTACAAACTGGTACTGTTACCAGTTTCTTGATTTCCATTTTCTTCGAAAAGAAACAAGTTTTAGCCCTTAAAGCTAGAGAGATAGGTTTGAAAGCACTTGTTGACATCTCAAAGGGGAAGGAGGTACAATTTCCAGTGATCAGGAAAGGCAGTTTGGATGCTCAGCAGACTTTTTGCCCCACCAAAGACTAGCTGAACCAGAAATAACGCTGCACCTTGCACCTAATGACCTTAAGCCATTAGGTGGGTAGGCAACCTAAGGCCTAGGGGCCGGATCTGACCCAATCGCCTTCTAAATCCGGCCCACGGATGGTCTGGGAATCAGCGTGTTTTTACATGAGTAGAATGTGTGCTTTTATTTAAAATGTATCTCTGGGTTATTTGTGGGGCATCGGAATTCGTTCATTTTTTTCCTTCAGAATATAATCTGGCCCCCCACAAGGTCTGAGGGAAAGTGGACCGGCCCCCAGCTGAAAAAGTTTGCTGACCTCTGCAGCTTAAGCCATGTTTGCTTATGGAATTCACTTCAACAGGATGTGGCAATTGCCACCAATTTCGGTTATTTTAAAAGGCAACTAGGGGGAAAGGGAGGCAAATTGATGGAAGATCATGCTACCAGTGGATGCCTCTGAATATCAGTTGCTGGGGAACAACAAGAGGAGAATTGCCCTTGTGTCCTTCTTGAGGGTTTCCCAGGGCATCTAGCTGGCCATTATAAGGAAAATGGATGCTAGACTAGAAGGGTCTTGGTTATGATCTAGCAGGGCTCTTCTTATGTCCTTAAGCACATTCTATATGAAATGTGTTGCTTGACAGGAGTGCCAAGGCAGACATAGAAAAACAGACTGTCCTTTTGCAATTCATCATTTGGACATACTGATCTCACTTATCTCCCGGCCTGCCATGTGAAATAGTGGAGAGCAACAGAGAGGGGGCAAAAGTCCTCATGGTTTGTGGATGTCGCATACACTGTATTAGCTTGGCTGGAAATGGCGAAATCCTCTAAGTGCCTGAGCTGTTACTGTCAACACTGATCTGGCTCACCTGTTCCATCCTTGGTAGTGCTTCCGGAATTCCTCTTGTGATAGAAATCTTAATGGATCTACACAGCCATTGCAAGTTAGATATTCGATATGCCAACAAGCTATGATTTCTTGTATCCAAATCACAAAGAGCTCCTGGTTCACATAAACATATGGACACCCCGTAGTTTTCCTACACCTGATTATTTTGTCTTTGGTGACTGGCTGCTGAATGGGTGAACTGATTTGATTGGGGGAAAAGATGGCGTTGGGCGATGACAAAATTTCCACCTGTGATGTTAGATCTGAAGTGGCTCATTCGCACATGCAGCATCTGTTGGTTTTACAGTCACCTGTGAACCTGCTCAGGTAATACGTGTCCCTCAAAAATTGGCTCTCAGGACCAATTCCAGGAGTAAAAATAATAACTCTCTGGATGTAAAAATAGAATGATGTAATCCAGGAGTTCCCAAACTGTTGTCCCTGGACCATCAGTGATCTACAAGATGGCATATCTGAATTATATATTCATACCAATTTTAATTGTATTTTTATTGCTTATTTTACAATTACACTGGCTGCAACAGGTAGAAAAACCATTAATGGTCTGTGAAGACCATCAGTAATTTTCAAATGTTTGGGGTGGGGTGGGGGGCAAAGTTCAGGAACCACTGATGTAAAGAATGCTAAGTGCAGATCAGAATTGATAAATGGAATTCCTTTCTGGCTGTTGCTGTGACAACCTAAGGCACTTCTTTAATATATCAATGAGTTTCTCCTTCTCTGTCTTCCTACCTCCCTCGCACCAGCACCACGTTAATTTTCTCTTTGTTAACAAAGAATCAAACAGGGATTGCTTCCTCTTATGAACAGCCTCCCAGGGACCATTATGGCAGAAACGATGCTGATATTATTGTAACTCAAGTCTCATTAAATTATTGTTTGTAAGGTTGCACGAGGCTCACCTGCCTCTCAATTAGCAAGTAAATTCCTGTGCTCTATTTCAGGATCCAAAAACAACAAAAAACCCCAACAACATGTTTTAAAGTATTTCTCAAAATGCTCATCAATGCCTTACATGACAGATTTAATTTGGAGCAAGCAGAGTCACTCTGAGTAAGCTTAGAAAAAAGTAAGGTTGTTAACCTTAATTGCAATTAAATGTTCCACTTTTGCCACATTAAGCTTCCAGGCATCTATGATTTGAGAGCAAACATCTTTCCGCTCCCCAGGCACTTCCATCCCCTGCTAAAGGATCCAGATGTGAATTCTGTTGAGGAGAAGGAAATGGTCCTAGATGCCTAAAGCAATGCCAAAGTGGCGCTGTAGCCATGAGATGGGAGACTGGTGCTGTGGGCTGACTGGAAGGGTGTAGAGGAGGTTCTGGCTTTGAAATCTTGTTCCATTTTCCCCATTCCACTCCCAAGGACAGCCAAAGAGACTTAGACTGAGCATCAATACATTCAACAGCCAATTCTAAATGCTCTTCTTCCTTTGTCATAGAATGGGCCTCAGGCAGACAACTGGCTAGAAGAAAGCAATGCATCAAAGATGCATTTACTTCCATCCATCTGCCCCAAGGAAATCCCCATTAATTTTAACAGAGTTTGTGGAGGAGAGCTTACTGTGGATTTTCCCCTGTGTTGTCACTCTAAGTTTCCTCTTGTATCTTGTGACTGAAAAGGGTGCAACAGGGGTAGCCAATATGATATTCTCCAGATGTTGCTGGACATCAGCCCCAGCCAGCAAGGGATTATGGGAATTGTAGTCCAATGACATATGAAGAACACCACATGGGCTATCCCTAGTCTACATGTAAACAATGTGCCTTATCACAGGAACTTTTATTATAGTAGCCAGCCCTACAGTATATATATATTTTAAAAATCCAAACAGATCCCTGCCCATGACTCTAAATCCTTGCACGCTGCATCTTTAATGTTTCCTAAAAGAAACATTTGCTTACTTTGAACCTCTTCTTTTTTTTCAGAAATTCAGATATGACCGATTCCTCAATTCGGACGGCACAGAAAAAACAGATTTCTATAAAGGAGGGAAAAGCCTCAAGTATTACTCCATGCCATGGGGAGCGGGAATAAATGTCTGTATCGGAAAGTTCCTTGCAGTCAATAGCATCAAACAGTGAGTGAATTTGTCATGTTGATATAATGACCGCCTCTTGCAATAATTTCGATCGTAAGAAGCTAGTGCTGGCTTGTAACAGAAAGTGACAGCATGGCATTTACTCAGAAGCAAGTCCCAAAGTGGTTGATAGGGATTACTCCCTAGTAAGTCACATGATGGCTGGGGACCAGTGAGAGTTAGAGTCCATCAACATCCAACCACAGGTTCCATATCCCTGGTCTGTCTGAAATGCTGGAAAGTTAGTCGGTGTAGACTTGCCTGGTCCTCAACCTGGTGCCCCCAGGTTGGACTACAAGTTCCATCATTGCTGGCAATTGGTTATGCTGGCTGGGGCTGATGGGGACTGGAGCCCAACAACAGTTGGAGGGCTCCAGGTTGGTGAAGGCTGGTGTAGACAATATTGAGATGGGCCAATATGGCAGCTTCCTATCCCATACAGGATTCCCAGTCACATGGAAGGGGCCCTGTGCATGTAGGCATATTGCAGGGAGATATGCAACCAGCACCGGGGGGGGGGGGGGCAGAGCCTGCTCCTAGCCGTCCTCCCAGCCATATGCATAGTTCAGAGGAACAACTTACATTGTTATTAATTCGATTTATGAGCTGCTTGACACATAAGGACTCTCCAAGTGACTTACCGAATTTCAAAAGCATAAAGCATGGCATGAAATCAGGAAAAAACCAACAACGTATTGCAATAAAAGCGGTACAATAGCCTATAAAATAAACCCAATAAAATAGCAGCGAAAACGTTCCATCAATATAGAGAAAAGCCATCGGAGTTCTATCAGGAACAGAAGACAAACTTCCCACTCCTTTGCTGTCCTGCATTTCCAATCAGATACTTAAAGCACGCTTTAAAAAATTTATCCTGAGTTAGCAGGTTGACACCAGCAACTATCTAGCCCAGGGGTTGTCAGCCTGGTCTCTACCGCCCACTAGTGGGCGTTTCAGGATTCTAAGGAGGAGGGAGGGGGTTCTGCGGCACAAGCTGAATCCTCCTTCCATTGAGCACTGGAAATTTTACCATCAAACAAGATGCATTAGTGGGCAGTAGGTATAAAAAGGTTGACTACCCCTGATCTAGGCAAATGGCTGTGTGTACAGTGCTACTCAGTAACCTGTGGGGCTGGCTCCAGCTTGAATGAGGCTTGACAACCATATGTCAGGAGTGCTCTGATGGTGTTTCCTGCTTGGCAGGGGGTTGGACTCGATGGCCCTTGTGGTCTATTCTCACTCTATGATTCTATGATTCTATGAATATTATTGGTACAGCTCCACCTCCTGCCCAGGTGGACCCCTCTGGCAGGTTTGTCTAGTGATGTTGCTCCTAAAATTGGTGCCAGGCACCTGCTATATCTCACCTTGATTCCAAGGTAGCACTGCTCAAGGGGCATTGTGGGAAATTTAAATGGAAGCTGCCTGGTCATCCAGCACTGCACATCTGCAGGGGATGCAGAGGTTTCAGGGAGTTCAAGGCAGTGATCAAATGTGATGTGCTACCTTTCAGCTCATGGTCACAATGCTGCACAGTTAAAAGGTAAAGGTAAAGGGACCCCTGACCATTAGGTCCAGTCGTGACCGACTCTGGGGTTGCGGCACTCATCTCGCTTTATTGGCCGAGGGAGCCGGCGTACAGCTTCCAGGTCATGTGGCCAGCATGACTAAGCTGCTTCTGGCGAACCAGAGCAGCGCACGGAAACGCCATTTACCTTCCCGCTGGAGCGGTACCTATTTATCTATTTGCACTTTGACGTGCTTTTGAACTGCTAGGTTGGCAGGAGCAGGGACTGAGCAACGGGAGCTCACCCCATCGCGGGGATTCAAACCGCCAACCTTCTGATTGGCAAGTCCTAGGCTCAGTGGTTTAGACCACAGTGTCCCCAAATTGATAGAAAGCAATGTAAGACCTACATTGGCTCCCAGTACATTTCCGAGCACAATTCAAGGTGTTGGTGCTGACCTTTAAAGCCCTAAACAGCCTCGGTCCTCTATACCTGAAGGAGCGTCTCCACCCCCATTGTTCAGCCCAGACACTGAGGTCCAACTCCAAAGGACTTCTGGCAGTTCCCTCACTGCGAAAAGTGAAGTTACAGGGAACCAGGCAGAGGGCCTTCTCAGCAGTGGTGCCTGCCTTGTGGAACACCCTCCCATCAGATGCCAAGGAAATAAACAACTATCTGACTTTTAAAAGACATCTGAAGGCAGTTGTGTTTAGGGAAGTTTTTAATGACTGATGTTTAATCGTATTTTTAATACGTTGGAAGCCACCCAGAGTGGCTCAGGAAATCCAGCCAGTTGGGCGGGGTATAAATAATATGTTGTTGTTGTTAATTCTGTGAGGCTTCTATTTGCTACAATCTCAGTGCCTCCAGGCTCTCAGTATTTTGCAGGAGGGATTCAAGCACATCCCAGGAGATGCAGGTTTACACAGTTAAAGTAGATTAAACCACCCAGTTGCCCTAGTGCCACAAATCCACTTTAAAAAAAGAATCAGTGTGGAAAGTGACAGTGATTGCACTGAAAAGTATGGGATGGGCATGTTATTAGCAGGAAGATGTATGAACACCCTGAAGGCAAATCGGGATGAATGCAGGTTCAACGCTCATTATCAGCGTTCATTATCTCAAATAAGAATGAATGCTCAATAAAGACTGGATATGATTTAACTTCCTCTTAAGCTTTGGTGCAAGGAAATCAGGATGAATGCTCAACTAATATGTCATTTGGAGGAGCCCTAGGTGTGACCAGATGCCACCCCCATCTGTCTTGAATAATTTAAAATGAGCAGGTCACAAGATTTTCAAGTTTATCTAAACCATTCATTTATTTTTCATGGAAAGAAATGTTAGGTAGCATTGCTAAGCCATTGAAGGCGGCAGTTTTGATTCCATTAAAAGAAAATCATACAAGCTTATCACACTGTTTTATGCACACTTAGCTATGGTTTCCCCAGTAGTGATGTATGGAAGTGAGAGCTGGACCATAAAGAAGGCTGATTGCCGAAGAATTGATGCTTTTGAATTATGGTGCTGGAGGAGACTCTTGAGAGTCCCATGGACTGCAAGAAGATCAAACCTCTCCATTCTGAAGGAAATCAGCCCTGAGTGCTCACTGGAAGGACAGATCCTGAAGCTGAGGCTCCAATACTTTGGCCACCTCATGAGAAGAGAAGACTTCCTGGAAAAGACCCTGATGTTGGGAAAGATGGAGGGCACAAGGAGAAGGGGATGACAGAGGACGAGATGGTTGGACAGTGTTCTCGAAGCTACCAGCATGAGTTTGACCAAACTGCGGGAGGCAGTGGAAGACAGAAGTGCCTGGCATGCTCTGGTCCATCAGGTCATGAAGAGTCAGACACGACTAAACGACTAAACAACAACAATCTGGGGAGCTTGAACACTGGGGAAGCTATTTCTGAGTAGACATGCCTACAAGATTACTTTGTATGGCTGCAACCTATGCACACTTATTCAGGAGTAAGCTCCTCTAGACTATACTGTTAAACTGTAGTTTCCATTACAGTTAAGAGCTCCTGGATAAAACAGAACTTTCTTCGTGCTGTATGGGGCCATACAGCAATCTGTGCAACTTACAAAATTGGAATTGTTGGAATGCTCTGTTTAAAGTATTGCTCTCCTGGTTTATAGCCATACTATCTATTTTACATTTTAAAAGTACAGAGCCAAGATCCTGGAGGCCACTACTTCCATCTTTCTCTCCCTCCCTACCCAACAGGCTTCTTGGCATGGGGGGCGGCAGCAGGGGGATAGATTGATCTTCCCAGAGGTCTAACTGATAGCTCACCGAATGCTTTTGTAAGGATGCAGGAAATCAGGCCTAAGGCCACATATCGTCACATCCCTGTCTTTGGCCCTACTGACCAGGTTATTTTTCTCATTTCAGGTGTGTTTTCCTCCTCTTAAGCTATTTTGATTTGGAGCTGAAAGATCCCAATGCAGCAATCCCAGCCTTTGACAAGGAAAGATACGGCTTTGGAATGTTGCAGCCAGAGAAAGATGTCATCATTCGATATAAACTGAAAGCTCAGTAAAATTGTATATTTCTTCCCCTTATCGTCAAGCTCCTCTGGACATCCCTTCATGTTCTGCAAGAAAACAGCTGCTCACTGGTTTCAGTTGAAATTTATTTTGACATGACATGGGTTGCTAAGGTATATTTATATGTTATAGCTACAAAGAGGGCATAATAAATTGTTCTCTGTGGCATCTGCAAGCTGTTCATTTGCAAAAGCTCACCGGATGGCATTTGGGGCCCCTTCAGACAGGTGTTTTCTGCAACATGTCATTGACTCAATAACAGTGGTGAGCTTGGTGAGACCAATCCATACATCATTCTCCTTTCTTATTTTGTGATGCTGCCCCAATGCCATCTGGGGGCACATTCTTACACTATACTGCAACAAAAGTGGAACCTTTTAAAAACCCCAACAACCTTGACAGCATTTAATGTATAAAAAGTTACAGGATTTCATCAGGAATCTACAAGGCTCGTACCTATTACAAGCAAAGCAATATGTTTTCCCAAAACATTTCCATGCGCAAACTATCGAAAGTGGGAGCATGTGTAACTGCCCCGATACCATCACCACGGATGGATGATAACAAAAGAATGTCTGGAGGAGTTTCACTACACCATTGCAGGCCAATATGTTGTACATCCAAAAAAACTGGTGGAAAATTGCAGATGCCATGTGGAACCTTTTGAAGTGACAGGCACAAGAAGACCATCGGCCCCACTTTGATCCACAAATATTGGGTCATAGAATCATAGAATTGCAGAGTTGGGAGGGACCCAACTGGTCCATCGCCCTGCAATGCAGCGGATCGAACCTGCAACCTTGGCAATATCAGCAGGATGCTCTAACCAACTGAGCTAGTGGCTGAAAAGATGTTTGACGCAAATTTGTCAGTACTTCTTAGGTTAGTGATTTATGCTTTAGGGCTTTTCCAGGACTCAGGAGTCTGGAAATTGCAGAAGAGTGATCCAGACAGCAGACCAAGAAACTGCCAAAGCTAGCCTGAATGAAACAGGCAGAGTGTGGGTCACTCAGCAATTGTTTTCCAAATCCCTAGACATTCTTTGGGGAGGTGGGGATCTCTTCTCCTCACTTCCTGGTCTGGTTTTCCCCACCTTCTGTTTTGTCACCAAGGCTACATCTACACAGCTATTAAAAAAACGCTCTGTAAATGCTCTGAAAAAAGCCGTTTTAAAACTCACAATGGAAAATTTCACAGAGTTCCGATTTCAGCTTCACACCACCATCTGGTGTCACAATGTTATAAGGCATTTATAATGTTCTATTTTTAGTAATGTAGCTGAGTCCTAAAAGCTCGCAAGCCTCTGTATAATTACTTTAGAGTAAGTCTCATTGAGCTGGGTGGGACTTACTTCCCGGAAAACATGGAAAGAAACCCAGTCATGCTCTGGATCACACAACCTTACCAGGGAGTAAGTTCTATTGAACTCAATGGAACTTTATTCTGAGTTGACATGCATTGGATTGTCCTGTTAATTACTATAGTTAATGGAGGAGATTCAAAATATTATATAGTGATAAATCACCAAACAAACAAACAAACCTCTAGCCACCTTTAAAAAATCACTGGTGCACTTTTTGCCTTCCGTTGCTAATGTTTTAATAAATCCAGCCATCAGCAAGTACAGTGGTACCTCGGGTTAAGTACTTAATTTGTTCTGGAGGTCCGTTCTTAAGCTGAAACTGTTCTTAACCTGAAGCACCACTTTAGCTAATGGGGCCTCCTACTGCTGCCGCGCCGCCGGAGCACGATTTCTGTTCTCATCCTGAAGCAAAGTTCTTAACCCGAGGTACTATTTCTGGGTTAGCGGAGTCTGGAACCTGAAGCGTATGTAACCTGAAGCGTATGTAACCCGAGGTACCATTGTATATGTAGAAGTGTAGAGTTGGAAAGAGACCCCAACTGCAGTGCAGAAATCACCACTAAAGAATCTGTGGCAGGTGGGTGTTGAGTCCAGCAGAAACAACAAAATCCATTACAGTGAAAAACCTTCTCATTGTCTTTGTTTTCAAGTTAGGGTTTGTATAATGCTCGTTCTACACAAAGTAGACCTGTTGAAATTAATGGACATGACTAACAGGTTCATTAATTTCAATGGATCTTCTCTGAGCTTTGAATACAACCCTTAAAATTTCACTTTGCACAGGGCTTCCACAGGCAGAGCTGACTATGCGAATCCCCCCTAAGCATCCTTAGGGCAGCCATTGTCTCTCAGGCCTCCCTATCTACAATACAGAGATAATAAATTAATAGTGACCTACTTTATAGGGTGCTGTGCAAGCATGACTGAAATACGAATGTGAAGTACTTTGAGTACACTTAAAAGGCTGCATTTAAGAGAGCCAGCACAGAGTAGTGGCTACAGTGTTGGACTCAAACTGGGGGAGACCTGGGTTCCAATCACACATGACCCAGTCACTACGGCCAGACCCTCAAAGGAACAGAACTGGATTTTCAGAAGCTGTCCCAGTTTCTGATTTTGATCCTGGAATGTCCCAATCTTCCCTCAGACGTCCCTATTTTCACCTGAGAAATGTTGGAGGGTATGTACAGCTATGGATAAAATAGAGGAGAGGCCCACATGCACCACCTTTAGATACTAGGTGGAAATGTGGGGCATAAAGTTAATACTGTAGTAATATATCCCATGATTATACAACCACTGGGCTTTTTTTGACAACTTGCCAGTTGTTGTTGTTCTGAGTTAATTGGCTCTGAATTAGTGTATTGATTTTCTTCAGTCGTTTTTCTCTCTTCTCTTTAGTCCTGCTCGCATGACATGTCTGTAGATATGAGTGAGAGGATGGGTGAAGAGGGAAGAGGCAAGATTGTGCCCTCCTGGCTTCCATACTTGCATCTGTTCTAACCAATCTGAGTAGCACCTGTCCATGAAAAAAATGACATCCTTGGCGGCTCTCTCTGTGCAGCCGGGATCTCTTGAAAAGCAAAGGTCCCAGATGAAATAGTCAAATTACGGTAGTTATTAATTTTCCTAAAGCCTTAGAAATGACACTTCATTCCATAAGCTATTACTGTTTACAAAATAGTTATGTGAGAGCAAGTTAGCTTTAAATACACCAGAGGTCGTGCGGACAGAAGAGTCAAACCTTATGATTGGGGATGTGTACATTAAAAACACAACTTGAGCTTTTGTTACAAATACCTTTATTGCACTAAAATGTTTTCAGTAGCAGAGTCAGATGTGTTTCACAATTGAGTAAAGGCATCTTTTTTTTAAAAGGCACAAAACTTTAGAGGCAGTGTGGTGCATTGGTTGGAGTGTTGAACCTGGACTAGGAAAATCTGGGGTTTGAAACTGCTCAAAAACAAAGCGCACTGGGTGACCTTTGGCCAGTCACTTTCTCCCTCAGTTTAAAAGGTAAAGTGACCCCTGACCGTTAGGTCCAGTCGTGGCCGACTCTGGGGTTGCGGCGCTCATCTCGCTTTATTGGCCAAGGGAGCCAGCATACAGCTTCCGGGTCATGTGGCCAGCATGACTAAGCCGCTTCTGGCAAACCAGAGCAGCACACGGAAACACCGTTTACCTTCCCGCCAGAGCGGTACCTATTTATCTACTTGCACTTTGACATGCTTTCGAACTGCTAGGCTGGCAGGAGCAGGGACCAAGCAACGGGAGCTCACCCCGTCACGGGGATTCGAACTGCCGACCTTCTGATCGGCAAGTCCTAGACTCTGTGGTTTAACCCACAGCGCCACCCGCACCCCCTCCCTCAGTTTAGCCTACCTTAACAGGGTCTATTCCATATATGATTACTATATAATAATGGGCCCTGCTATGGGTCTCCTTGGTGTTGGAAATGGGTACCTGAGACGGAGCCTTTTCGTCAGTGGCACCCAAGATCTGGAACAGCCTTCCAAAGGATGCCTGCCTGGCTCCATTGCTGCTTGCTTTCAAACAGGCTATTCCAGTGAATTCTCATCAAGTACCACACTTAACTAAGCTAAATATGTCTTCTCAGAAGTGAGCTCCATTGAACTCAATGGAAGTCGCTTTTCAGCAGACATGGTTAGGATAGCACTGCCCATTGTGTTTATGCTGCTGCTGCTTTTTAGTTTAGATTGTTTCTGTGAGGGAGGGGGTTGTTCTTTTTATTACTGTATATTTTTGACTACTGTATATGTTACTATAAATTACCTGCATATTTTATAGAAAGGCCAAATATAAATCTCAAGAATAAACAATCTCAACTTAGTTACTGGCATGTAGACTTTGCCTTTGCTGATTTATAGAGCTCGGTGCCTTTCTCCACAACCACCAAGCAAGGAAACCCAAAAATTACGTGTGTGTTAAAAACATGCATCATGTATACTGTACTGGCAAGCGTGACAGAATTTCCTTTTCCTCCCAATTGAGGTTGCTTTCAGGCAGGCCCATTGCTCAGAGCTAGAGAATTTGTTTTTGCATGCCAAAGGTCCCTGGTTCAATCCCTGCCTGAAACCCTGGAGAGCTGCTGCCAGCCTGTGTAGACAGTACTGAGCTAGATGGACCAGTGATCTGACTCAGTATAAGGCAGCATCCCATGCTCTTGATAGCTGCAGCTTTTACACTGGCAATTTATTTAAACTTGATTTAAACTGGCCCAGAAGCTGCAGCCAGTGCGGAATCCACTGGCCAGGCTGCTGATGGGGGCAGGCTAAAGCATCCGCACTGGAAGCCCATATGCTGCCAGGCCAGGTTCAAGGCTCTTGTGCTGATATACAAAGCCCTGGACGATCCAATTATACCTTATTAACCTGGATACCTTAAGGACAGTCTGAGCCCTTGTATTCCAGTTCAATCACTGAGATCATTTGGAGCTGTATGTGACAGAGGCCTGGCTGGCCTCAACTGGAAATTGAAGATTTAGAGCCTATGGAACACTCTTCCACCAGAAATTTGTCAGGCACCCTCTCCGTTAACTTTCAGGCATCTGGTGATATGCTTTCTATGCCAACAGGTCTATTCTGTTTATTCCCTCCCCCATCAAAGTTAGCCAGTTATTTTAATGATTACTTTGTATTGCTTTTGTTGTATTTTTAAAAAAATGTTTTATTGTATTTGTATATTTTGTTGTATTCAGCCTCAGTATTTTGCATTAGATGGCAGTACAGAATTATTTTTGCAAATAAATAAACAAATAAACAAACAAACCCAGCCACTTATCTGGGTGGGTTCCTCTTGGGCTCTCCGCTTGGTCCAAGAGTCATTCAATAACAAAATGCTTCAGTGCAGAGTGCTGCTCTTCACTGTGCCAGCCAGTCAGCCCGTGTGCCTATTTCCAGGTTACTCCATTCCATTACCACTTCCGAAAAGCAAGTCAACATTTGCACCTACAGTCCTCACTGGGTTTTGGGGAGGGAGAAGTCACCCATTCCCCTTAAGGACTTTTAGATTTTTTTGGGGTGTGTGTGGAGATTTCACCATTGCAGTTCTGCAGATTTTGTGGTTTCCCGTATGCTTGCTGATATCTCCCACTTTTGTGTGTCTGGTGCCTATTTGGCTATATAAGCTATGGCACTCTCAGCCTGAACATTGAAATAAAGGGTACTGAACTAGATTATTACCCCCCTCCCTTAGAATTTATTTGTCCTCATTACAGGTCTTGGCCCAATTCACATGTTTTATAGTTATTCTGGGAATGGGCACATTAGCAAATGCCCTCTGTGCCCCTGTAATCATAGCTTTGAATCTGCATGAAAAGCCAAAGCTTCTGGTTTCTAATGGCTGTAGCAGTGAACCTTTAAATTACAACTGCAAATAGCAATTTAACAGATCTGTAAATTTCTGCATTAAGTAAGTGGAATGTTTAAATCATGTCAGGAGGAAGAGGTTCGTGGTGAAGCTTAATCTCCAGGATAGTCAGATCTTGCTGATGTAAGTGATGGCACTCAATGTGGGGAAACTGTGCCCAGAGCTCCTGTCTGTTGCTTTAAGAGATGCAGATCAGCAAGTTATGGTGTTTCACACCCATCTTGGAGCTTAAAAAGGTAAAGGGACCCCTGACCATTTGGTCCAGTCATGGCCGACTCTGGGGTTGTGGCGCTCATCTCGCTTTATTGGCCGAGGGAGCCGGCGTACAGCTTCCAGCTCATGTGGCCAGCATGACTAAGCCACTTCTGGCAAACCAGAGCAGTGCACGGAAATACCGTTTACCTTCCCGCTGGAGTGGTACCTATTTATCTACTTGCACTTTGACGCGCTTTTGAACTGCTAGGTTGGCAGGAGCAGGGACCAAGCAACGGGAGCTCACCCCGTCACGGGGATTCAAACCGCCAACCTTCTGATCAGCCAGCCCTAGGCTCTGTGGTTTAACCCACAGTGCCACCCACGTCCCTAATCAGCCTGTATTCAACAATCTCACTTGCTACAAAACACATGTCAGCAACCTCTGGCCTTTCAGATGTTGCTGAACCACAACTCCCACCAGCCCCATTAAGCATGACCAATGGCTTAGGATGCTGGGAGTTGTAGTTCAGCAACATCAGGCTGGCCAAGGAAAACCTGCTTTAAAACAAGGATGGGGAAGCTATGGGCTTTCTTCTGGTGGTGCAGCAATAAAACTATTGGCACATTGCAAAGCTAAGCAGGGTCTGGTATGGTTTCAAACTGGATGGGGAACCGAATGTTGAGATTCCTGCATTGCTAGGTCAGCTTTCTCCAACCTGG